TAGCAATAAAGGTGTAGAAGATATAATTTTATAACTGGTTTTCGATAAGGTTTTTTTTATCGATAAAAAAAGATCGGGATGAGTTATCGATTTTTAATGATAAACCTGATATGCGCACTTTAATTACGGACATTTAAAAAAATTTGAAGCCGGACCTAGGAAAAAATTTTTCAAGTCTCTAGCTCTTATATCTTCTGAAATCGACGCGTTTATACATACGGACGGACGAACAGACAGACGAACAGGGCCAAATCGACTCAGCTCGTCGCCCTGATCAAGAATATATATAGTTTGTGGGGTCTGCCACGCCTCCTTCTGCCTGTTACATACTTTTAACAAAACTATTATACCCTGATTTCCCATTTTCAATGGCTTCAGGGTATAAAAACAAATGTAAATTAAATTAGAGTGTTCTAGTCAAGACTGCTCTACTAGGAGATACCCTGGTTCTGGTTTTCTTTTATACACACATACAAAATAACATGCTCACACACATCTACACGTACGTGAAAGCAAGCGCTCTACTAACTGCGCAGTTAGCAGCGACTGCGCTTGGTCCGTGGTGTGGGCTATATTATGAGAATTTATTTGTTGAATAATATCTCTCGTAGTTGGATTATTTTTATGAAACTTTCTGAACGTGATATAAGGCTAAAATGTGTATACATTCCAAAGTCCAAGTCTCTGGTACTTAAATTTTTACAAATTGGGGGCGAAGGGGGCGTGGTATGTAAAATTTGTGTATAAAATGTATGTATATTAAGTAAATCCGAAGTCTCCAGGTCTAATAGCATTAAATTATGCTGAACCTCTCCATCTGTCTATATTTTTTAACGCGTTGATCCCCAAAGATATAAGCGCTAGACACTTTAATTTTTATACTCATTCACGAATGTGAAATGCACTATACCCATTTCACATTCGTGAATGAGTATAAAAATTAAAGTGTCTAGTTTTATGAAATGTCAGACTTGCTGTCCATTCGTCTGTCCGAATGAGCGCAGTTTGTTTCGGCGCTATTGAAGGTAAACTTAAAGTTTGGAAATGAAATTTGAAAAATGCATTTTCTGATGTGTCAGAAATCATATTAGCTAAAGAGCTAGAAAGCTTAAGTTTGTAATGTAGATCCGCGTCGACTACCCAAAATCACAAGCTATGGCGGGCGGATACAACTGTATTTCCTAAAGTTATAAATCTTCATCGCTGAAATTCACCTATATTTTAGGTACTATTGATTCTAGAGACCCAAGTTCAAGCTATGGGGGATATATGTATCTCCGTCCACAGGGGGTGTGGCAGAGATAGGAACGTGTCATATTGAAAAATATCCTGCAATTTTCAAATTTTTGTAGCGTAATCATTCAAATCGCAGTTACATTACCTTCAGCTCGTTCTAAGATCTGACCAAAAATTATGTGTTTACGCCTAGTAGCAAAATCGGAACTGAATTTTCTACAGTATTAGGGCTAGGAACTCAAAACTTAGCTTTCATACTACCCCGCAGGAAATCACGGGCGACCCTCAACTTTAGACATTTTCCTTACCAATCGTCCTGTTTATCTTTCTAGCCCACGAGTGTTACACACATTAAATCTGATCATTTTCCAGTGCTTCTTGAGATCTCTGTCAACTTTGCCGCGCCCGCAACTAACTTTTACTTCAATATAAAAAGAGCAAACTGGGTAAGATTCGCTCGTTTCGTCGAAAATTCGCTCTTCACCTAAACTCAAACACAATGTGCCGCACAGAAACAAAGCATTCTTAGCCTTATAAAGAAAGGAAACATACGACGGCGCACCTGGCTAAGGTAGCTAAATAAGCTGATCACCAAAGTGATACTAGAATTTAAAAATTAATCCTGGAATATTACTCTTGCAGCCTTAGATAAAGGTTATTCCCTTTTTTGGAAATTCTCCAAAATAATTAGAATGAAGTACTCAAACATTCCATTGCTAGTCAATAATAACATAAGTCACTCGACGGACGAAGATAAGGCCGAGGCGTTAGCTCAATTCTCTCAGACTACCTTTTTGGCATCAACGTTATAGAAGGCATATTGAATAAGCTTAAAAAAAGGAAGTCACCAGGAATTGATTTTTGACAATCTATGCTTAAAAGCCCTACTCCGAAGGGTATCAGTTTTATTATTTGCATAGTCAATAAATGCCTATATCTATGTTATTTACCGTCTGTCTGGAAATGTGCCAAAGCTGTTAAAACAAAAAAAAGGGAGTCGAGTTGCTCACTTCCTATAGACCTCTTAGTCTTTTGTCGGCAGTCAGCAAAATCTTTGAGAAGGTTAACAAAGATAAATTAACTAATTTTATTGATTCTAATAATATCCTTCCAAGTGATCCGTTTGGCTTTAGAAGCGAACACAATACTGTTCAGCCCCTTTGTAGAATTAAACAAAATTATCAAAACTAATTTTGCTAGATCAATATCATCAGGAATGGTACTACTGGATATCAAAGCCGCATTTGACTCAGTTTGGCACGACGGCCTAATCCACAAGATGTTACATTTTACTTTTCATCGTGCAACTATAAAGATTGTTCAAAATTATCTAGAAAACAGATCCTACGTCGTATATTTAGGAAATGCTTCATCCACAGCAGTCAATATTTCGGCAGGATGCCCCAAGGCTCATGTCTATCGCTTACTCTGTATAAAATATACATATATACTTCTGATCTCCCAATGCACCACCTCGGTTTTGTGGAGGAATTCGTTCCGCTGACATTTCTAAAAACCTCCAATCAGCATATAACTCTTTAGATGCATATTTCTTTTTTTTGAAAATTTTAGTCTGCCCAGAAAAGATCAAGGCAATTTTTTTCACAAAAAAACGAAAAGACATCTACGTACCGACAACGGACATCAGATTGGGCTGGGAATATATAAAGTGGGAAACAAATGTCAGGTACTTGGGTATTACATTGGACAAAAGACTTACTTTTAAGGTCCACATAACCAACACAATCAAAAAACTTACGTTATACCCATTTATAAATAGAAAGTCGAGACTAAATATAGAAAACAAGTAAGCTCTAGTCGAGACTGCTCCACTATGAAATTCCCTGAACCCTTCGAGCAATATCTATTTCAATCATTTCCTGCGTCTTTCTGCTTACACAAGAAACACGTGTGTCCACAAAAAAGTTATTAAACAATTAAGTTCTCATAGTAAGCGCACACTGCGCCCATGCGTGTTTATGCTTGTGTGTGTATGTGTTTGTTGATGTGTGTGTGTGTGTGTGTGTGCGTGTATGTGTGTATGTATGCCTGTGTGTGTGTGTGTGTGTGTGTGTATGTGTTTGTGTGTGTGTGTGTGTGTGTGTGTGTGCGTGTTTCTTGTGTAAGCTGAAAGACGCGAAAAATTATTGAAATAGCTATTACTCCAAGGGTTCTCGTAGTCGAGCAGTCTCGACTAGAGCTTTCTTACTTGTTAATGATAAACTCGATATCCGCGGACATTTAAAAACAAATTTGAAGTCTCTAGCTCTTATATCTTCGATGCGTTCATACATACGGACAGACATAGGGAAAAGAATATATATACTTTGTGAAAAAAAAAATGCCTCCTTTTGCCTGTTACATACATTTCAACAAAAAAAAAATACCCTCATTCCCATTGAAAATGGGTTCAAGGTATAAAAAAAGAAGAGATTACAAGAGAGCTAGAGACAATAATATAAATTATTTAACTGATATTAATTGACTGTATTTGGTTTCATGTCATTTTGAAGAACAAATCGCTGACTATATTCGAAAATGTTGTATAAGTGGCTTGCGTAATGCTCGTACCACAAGTGTATGCGATAGAATGGATTCAACTATAGTAAATATATCTAAACTTTGGCTTGGATTGTGCTCCTCGACATTTGACGTATGCTGTTCAAAAGAGTTGGACCGTCAGAATTGTGAGCTCGGTCGTTTGGCTGCATTGGAGGGTGCTTCGTGCAATAAAGGCTTTAATTTGACGTCAACCTCGTATACAAATTGCTGCCGAGCCTGTCAAGGTATTCTTGTATAGCTTATGTACATATATCTCTAAAACGTACTCATTAATGTAATGGGATTTCCAGTTGGTTTAGCTGTTAAGGCTAGTCAACAAAAATGTACGGATCCATTGTTTTCGTTTCTTTTGAATATCGATTCATATCGGTTATGCTGCTCTGATGACGGCTTCTCAAATTCTGAGTTGGAGTCGGAGTCGTTGTTGGAGGGGAAAAATAAACTCGAATTATATACAAATCATGATGAACGAGAGGAGGAAATTGTCGAGAGCCGCGAAACTGTTGATGGAACAATAGTCCTATCCGGTGATGGTAAGAATATTTGAAATAATAAATAAATAA